ACACACTTATAAGGCGCGACTGGTTGCAAAGGGCTTTTCACAAACTCCGGGAGTTGATTATGATGAGACCTTTTCACCAGTAGCAAAGATTAAGTCTATTATGGTTATGCTAGCCATTGCTGCATTTCATGACTATGGAATATGGCAAATGGATGTCAAAACCGCTTTCCTTAATGGAAAGTTGGTTGAGGATGTTTACATGAGTCAGCCAGAGGGTTTTGTCAGTACAGAGTACCCCAATAGAGTGTGTAAGCTTGAAAAATCCATCTATGGATTAAAGAAGGCACCTCGCAGATGGAATCTTTGCTTCGATGAGAAAGTCAAAGAGCTTGGCTTTTCGAGAAGCGAGAATGAGTCATGTGTATATGTTAGGGCTAGTGGGAGTATAGTTAGCTTTTTGGTGTTGTATGTGGATGACATACTACTCATAGGAAATGACATCCCAACCTTGCAGGAGGTTAAGTCCTGGCTTGGGAAGTGTTTCGCTATAAAGGACCTTGGAGAAGCTGCCTATATCCTAGGGATAAGGATATTGAGAGACAGGAGTAAAAGACTAATTGGACTTAGTCAGAGTACTTACTTGGATAAGGTGCTAAAGAGGTTCAGTATGCAGGATTCCAAGAAAGGGGAATTACCGATCCAGAGTAACACCAAACTGAGTAAGACTCAGAGTCCGAGTACAGAGGCTGAGATAGCTGAGATGAGTCATGTACCATATGCTTCCGTTGTGGGCTCAATCATGTATGCTATGACTTGTACTCGCCCTGATGTGGCCTTTGCCTTGAGCATGGTCAGTAGATATCAAGGGAACCCTGGCAAGGGTCACTGGACTGCGGTAAAGAACATTCTCAAGTATCTGCAAAGGACTAAGGACTGGGTCCTTACCCTTGGTGGCAGTGATAACTTGAGAGTGGCAGGGTATAGCGATGCTAGCTTTCAGACTGATAGGGATAATTTCCGCTCTCAGTCAGGCTGGGTCTTTATCCTAAATGGAGGAGAAATTACTTGGAAAAGTTCCAAGCTGGAGATGGTAGCTTATTCAACTTGCGAATCACAGTATATAGCAGCAAGCGAGGCAGCAAAAGAGGCGATATGGCTAAAGAACTTCATTGGAGACCTTGGAGTTGTACCAGCTATAAAAGAGCCAATGGAAATTTTCTGTGACAACGAAAGTGCGGTTGCTTTAGCTAAGGAACCAAGGGATCACGGGAGATCCAAACACATTGACAGAAAATACCATTTCATTAGACATCGAATAGAAGAAGGACTCCTCGTGGCAAAGAGGGTATCATCATATGAGAACCCAGCAGATTCCCTCACGAAGGGACTGAGTAGGGTTAAGCATTTACAGCATGCGAGGCGCATCGGGCTGAAGGATGATATTAGTTTTAATAATTAGATAGTTTTGAAACTTGTAAAATGTAATTGAAATTTGATGATTAAATAAAAGTTTTTGTTTATTTATGAGTAAAGTGTTACTATCTTATGATTAATCGTTTACTATTGTTTCAACTTTGCATGTTTTGACTTCCAGAATAATTATATTATTCAAACTCTCCACAGTCAGTCATACTTTAGAAGTAGGTATTGAATTAAGATTGTCATTAATTGGGTTTGTAGATTGTCTAAAGGTGTATTAGACATAGCAATGGTTGCTGCAACATTCATGAGTGCTCATAAGGCCTGAGTATTGGACTCAACCCACGCTCACTTGTATCACTGCATGGAATTTATCTCGAGTGATCGTGAGACGGTAATATCATATAAATCTTCAAACCTAGAGATATGATTTGTTGACTATGAGTTGGTTGTACATTGATTGTACGAAAACACATTGGTAACTCGATGTTATAAAACGTGCTTTTGTGCATGATTCAACAAGTAGTCAGTACAAGCATATGAGTCAAAGTTTATCTGTTCCTTCTAGGATTAGAAGCGATATCTGGGCCCCTCGATGATTTTGTTTTGACCTATGTACCGGGCCCGGTCAGAACCTAATTGATGTGTTCAATTTAGTTCTATGTCAAACAGATCAGAGATCGAGAAACAAATGCTGGACAATAAGTAAGACCATGTTCCATGTATTTTTCCGGCTGATATCTTGAGAGCAGAGGATTATATGATCACTTATCTTAAATGGCGTATCATCATCATCTCAGTTCTACGAGACCTTGAAAGAGCTGCGATTGCTGATCGGTTCCTGAAGTCATACTTGCAGTTATAGTTATTAGACTAATCCAAGTGGGAGATTGTTGGATATAGTGTCTAAGTCCATAATTATATTTGGTATGTACTTGACCCGACCCGGCATGGTCCATTTGGGTTGCATGGCATTGCAATGCTTGGATAGACCAAAATGAGAGAAAGGACACTTAAGGTTTATTAATATATTATAAGTTCTAATATATTAATAATATTATTTAATTAGTATTGATCAAAGAATTAATTTGGAATTAATTAAGTGATCAAAAAGAGACTAATTAAATATATGGGGTTGATTGTGTAAATCATCTATTCTTGTATAGTGGGCTAATGATCCATGGTTTGTATGGATTGGGTTAAAATCCATAAGGAGCTCCATGGATAGTCCATGGAGGTTACAAACCCATGGATCATGGAATATGGAAAGCCATGACAATTAGGGTTTACATGGTGTAACCCTACTTGTGCCATAACTATATAAAGACCCCTAGACTAGCAAAATCGGCACTTGTACAAGCAAGGAAGAGGGCTAGCCGATTTTGAGGTGTTAGTGAACTTCTCTCAAGGTTATTCCAAGTATTGTGGTGTTGTGTGAGACATTTGAGGCATCACACTTGAGGTGCTAGGCTCACAAGGTTTTCAAGGAATCCAAACAACATAAGGTATGTTCTACAACTAGCATTTATGTTTAAAAGTTCCCCATGCTATGTTAGATAGGTTATGAACCTTGGAAATCAAATTTGCATGTATCATAGTAAAACATAGATCCAAGGTTTCTAGGGTTGCATGTACACCATAGGAGTGTTAGAATGCTAAAAACCCATCAGTTGCTATGTGATAGTGATCTGTAGATCTGTCCGCTAGTATGTGGATTGGTTATGATTATCTGTTACTATTATATGTTATCTATTATGTATATATCAACATAGTATGGTTGGGTTGAGACTGTACTGCTTTGTGCGGTCAGTTAACAAACCTAGGTCAATCCAACCGGGAGGTTGTGGGTTAGGGCAATCCAACCGGGAGTTTATGGGCCAGGGTGATCCAACCGGGAGTTTGTGGGTTAGGGCAATCCAACTGGGAGTTTATAGGCCATGGTGATCCAACCGGGAGGTTGTGGACCCAGTACGTTATATGCAGGGCAATCCAACCTGGAGGTTGTGGGTCGGGGTAAGCCAATCGGGAGGTTGTGGACCCAGCATGCATTATGTATATTTGTTTGGCTGTGTTATGTGGTACTTGGGGGCGGGGGGGTCACTAAGCTTTGGCTTACAATTTTAGTTTATTCTTTCAGACACTTATGATGACTGTGGTAAGGCGAAGGCGTGATCATACACATCCTTTGAAGATATATTTTGGGAGATTTTATGGTGTTCTGATCTTGGGGAGTATTCGCATTTGACACTTGATTTGACATGGTTGGGATTGAAAACAATGGTTTTTTTTAATTTAAAAATGAAAAATTTTTATCGTGTTTTTGGGATGTTATAAGTTGGTATCAGAGCTCTGGTTTGAGAGAACTAGATGAGCATTCGTGTGAATCGAGACTCAAACTAAGGATCTGTAAAGTTTTCAACATAATTTTCAAAATGAATTCAAATTGTTTTCAAAAGCAACCCAGGAAGGAGGAGATGTGTACGATCAGCCGGAGCAAGAAAGTATACCTCAAGTTACCATACTACTATTTTTTATGATATGAGTAGAACTGCATGCTAGTGATAGGCTAGGGATCTTTAAGGATTTCGTGATAGAATTGTCTGATATATGATGCCTGATAGCCTAGGAGGACTTCTTGTATGTTAGATGGAATTGACGTCATTACTGTGGTTGCTTAGTGTGTGCATCATAGTTGTACATAACTAAGATCTTATAGCCTGAGAATGTTTGATTTATCCTAATTTCATGTTCTTGTTTGATGAAGGGCTTAGGGTAGGGTCAAGTATCCGAGTGTCTATAGGATCCAGTGTTATGTATGATTAGCATGCACGAGTGGCTATTGGTTTGGTGGAAGTTTCATGAGTAAGTATGTGTAGGTAACAAGCCTACTAATGGATGATTAGCTACTCTCCAGATAGCGAGGATATGATGTATGTGTATCATAGTCGTGAATTTGTTGTCGGGTAGTTTGTGATGATACTTGGAATAAATACGGGTAGGTGTGGAAGGTAGTATGGGACTAGTTGATACGGCGAACTCTAGGCGCATGATGAGCTCTTTTACCTAGGAGGGTTTCGTCTTATAGGCGTCCGGGAATTCACTCTATATAAGAACAACAAAAAACTAGGTAAAATAGCTATACCGAGGGTTGGACCCCGACATAGCTCTCTGATGCCTAAGTTAGAATGCGACATTTTGGTATTGCTTTTGTGTCAAGGAGTATGTGTTTTTCCTTACCTTGTTAGGATGTCTCCTGGGTATATTTATTGTATGTATGTGGTCAGTAAGCCCACTCCTTAGACCGGTCCTCCACTCATCACCCAATCTGTGAGCGGTCGCTCTTCGTGTCCTTTCCTTGCTTATTTTATTTGCTTTGTATTGTTTGGAATGTTTTCTGGGATACGATTCTGATGCTTGCGTACGATATATACGGATACCTATTTTCCCGAAACAGGTGGAAATGCTTGTAAAGCCGACCTGGTGGGTACCGGGTCGGTAGTGGGTTTCCTCGGACTACCGGCCTGGTACACCATTAAGCCCCCCAGTCTGAAGGGTGAAAGAATATTGTCGAAATATTTTTGTCGTTCAGAGTTTTAAATCCATATCAGGGACTGTAAAATCCTTCACATGCTGAACATTAAATGCTTGCGCCGTCGCACGCCATCTTGCTTGCTTTGATTAGATTGTTTGTATTAAATGCTTTAACCGGTCCCTCTGATTATTTATCGGGTAATCCTGATTACTCTTGTAGAAACTTCCTTACATGCTTTCCCTTTGAATTTTCCTTTACTATGATTGGTATGGGCGATGACATGTCTGTAATGGCGTACGAAGTGGACTGCTGCATGCTGGAGCGGTATTGTCATGAATATCATCTTTCTCCTGTGATTGGGTTCCAGGTTCTGTCTTCGTCTTCTTCTATTCTTGATGCCCCACCTGGTAAGGTTGGATTCTATCTTCGACATCTTGTGGTTACCCCTGTCTCGCATCTTCTTAGAGGTTCTCTAATTTTACAAAGTTTATCTTGTCCAACTATGTCCGAATGCGGTGTCCAAGATTGTTACTTTCGAAGTGTTTTACGTTTCTCATAAGATACCACTTGATGTCTCCTTGTTTCGTTATTTTTATCGCTTGAAGAAGTATGGTGACTGGTTTTCTTTTAGTAGTCATCACTTTCCTCTGTCTCCAGATGTGGCTCATTCGAATGGGAACTGGAAAAGTAGCTTATGTTAGGTCGACATGCATAGCTTGTGTCTGCCATTTTCCCCATGTTATGTTTCACTTGGTGATGACTCGGTGTCTTTATCTTCCGATCTTCTTGGATTTGTTCCTTTGTTTTCACATTTCTGTGTAAAGAGGGGTGTTTCTGTCGGAAGTTGTACTTGCCCTGTGTCACATAAGCCCATTCTGGAAATCCCGCTATCAACTACAAGTGTTATCTGCATGTCATGCAGGTTTGTCTAGCCTTTTACTGGATTTAGCATCAGTTCCTTTGTCTTTTCTTTCCCTGGTTATGGGTAATCTCCTGATATAAATGTTACCTTTGGGTATTTTCTCTGTGCTCATTTATTATTGCAGATTGGAGTAAATGCTCTTTCCACCTAACGACTTATTTGGCCGGTGATATTCCACCTGAGTCAATTGTAGTGGATGACGTGGTTCCTCGATACGTCTTTCCCTTGTCTATTTGTCATGTGGCCCCCAAACCAGTTGGTATGTAAATTGATTGGCATGCGTCACATATTGTGCGTTGTTTGTGATTACTTTGCTCTGTTAACACCGTTTTCCCAACGTTGTAGGTGGGTGTCCATCTTCTGTAGTGTTTGACGAAGAGCCGAATGAAGCAGTGCAGAAAAAATTATCTCTGCCGTACTCGGGCGTGATTTACAGGTTTTTGATGGGTTGTTAACCTTGAGAGACCGATTTTTGGCTGCGGAGGTGAATGTACATGTTTTCGAAGTCATGAAGCTTGCAAGCGAGGAGATGTTTGTGAAAGCTGGGGAGATGTATGCTGATTTATCAATTCGTTATCGGGATGTCGTGGCCAAGGTAACATCTTTAGAAAATCAAGGGACGCTCGTCCATGTGAGGTATGAAGCTTGTCCCCAGGAGAGCAGCGTGTTGCATTCCCTGCTTCTTAACAAGTCTTGATGGTATGGGTTGTGCGAGTTGGTTATGCTCTTGTTTTTGTGGGCAAGCGTGAACTTGGTGTTTCGCTTGTGTGTCTAACCGACTCTTGTTTTTGTGGGCAAGCATCCTACTTCCTATTTCTTTCTATTATTGCATTATACTTACACGTTTCATTAGTGCATTGTATCAAAGAAGGTACAATTGGTGCATAAAATATTTTATAATAACATAATCAAAGAATGGTGATTGGATCTTATTACACAAACATGAAACAATTATTAAATAGTAAAAACCAATAAGAAATGAGATCCCATGATACTAAATCACCCATTCAAATAAATAGTATAAAGTACATTGTGATCCAAGAAAACTCAAGTATCAAATAACCAATTTTGTTATTTTATTATAGGAACACAAACTCTCAAATAACCAATTTCATTGGTTTATATAAGTCAAATAATCAATATATATATATATATATATATATATATATATATATATATATATATATATATATATATATATATATATATTCAGCTAGTTCTCTTATTCTTTATCACACCTAAAATAACTTCAAAAAAAATAGCTTCAATGTTTCTCTTGTAAAGCCTCCTCTGCCTATACCAAAAAGAAAAATAATATATGAGTATTAGATTACAAAAATCATGAAGCTTAAAAAAATTTATCTTTCTGCTTGGACAACCAGTGGCATAATAACCCAGAACCTTGCAGTGAGAACAAGTTTGTTTTTTCTTTGCCAACTCCAAAGAATACTTAATCATGTTTGCATTTTAGGATGCCCTTTCGTATTACTAAGAACAAGAGGATCTTGAATAGATATATGTGGCATAATGTCTAACTGGGAAATTCCTACACAAGAATCTTGAGATGCGTTTTGAGGTCCATATGGCTTTTTCTGAATAATTTCATCTTCTAAAAACTTTACCACTAAATTGTTGAATATTTTTATCTTTGAAGGGGAGTCTTTTGCATGTTCGATTGCTTTATTACAGTTTGCACGGACATACCATAGGGTTAAGGCACTAACTTCCTTTTTGGTATTGATCTCATGCATTCTGACGCTATGACTACCCACCTTAAACCTTGCATCAAATGTCCACCCAGATAAAATATAATGGCCAGGAAGGGTTTGGATATCTCTCTTCTTGATCGCGTATAGACTATGTTTGCATAATATGTCATATGTTTCAAACTTAGCACATAAACATCTGACATTCACTTGATTCGTGAAACGATAACTAACAAATCTCCAATGCGCTTTATCAATATCCAATTGGCCAACTCTATATTTGATTTCTTCTGTAGATATGCTTAATGTCTCATGAGTTAAATTTTGTGTAGCTTCTATCCATTCTTTTTATAAAAATCTCAAAAATCTTTTTGGTATAACATTCACCCACTTTTGCTTATATTGGATGAACATAAGATAGAATTGGCTTCGAGTTCATAGTCTTAAAGTCTTCATCTTCTTCAACGGCTCTTCGAGATTCAACCGCTTGATCATATTGAACTACAAATTCATTCAACATTGTCTTGGAGTTTACAAATCCATCAAAAAAGGAATGAATGCTCTCGCTTCGTCCACTGGTTGTCATACCAGCAAAAAATACATCCTTTAAGTAGGCTTTAACCCAATGTTTTCGTTGGTTATACATATCGATGATCCAACAATAATTTTCAAGGTTATATTTACCATGCATAATTTCCCACTCTGTTTCAAATTCTTCAATTGTATCACTTTTTTCCCACCATCTATAAGACTCCTTAAAATCACTATAATAGGCTACAAGCGGTCGGAGATGTTCAAGCTCATGCTTCTTAATATGCCATGCACAGTAGCAATGTCGAGTGTTTCGAAACACTTTTTTTATTGCATTACCTATAGCTTTATCTTGATTGGTTATCATTGCAGATGGATGCTTGTTGAACATGCATTTTAAAAAAATACTCAAATAACCACCGAAAAGTTTCTTCTTTTTCATTTTCTAGCAATGCACCACCAAACAGTATGGTTTGACCATGATGGTTCACCCTCACAAATGGAGAAAATGGCATCTTAAATTTGTTTGTCATGTATGTAATATCAAAGACAGCAACATCTCCGATTTTAGTATAGGCATCCCTTGATCTTCCATCGACCCAAAAAATATTTCGAGGAGACCCATCCTCAAATAAATCCACAACAAAATACTGGTTAATATCTACTAATGCTTTATTTTGGAAATGTTTGCTAAGCCCATAAAAATCTTTACCTTTGTATTGTCTCCGTTGCTTAGATAATATATCCACACATTGCTTTGAAGTAACATCAATATCCTGTGGAGTTTTCATTGCATTAACAGCCTTTTTTATTTGAGAAGGGTTTAATCCTGATGGACCAAGTTCCACCATAAGAGATTTACATGCCAATGAACAATGGAGCTTCTCATGAGAACGATGTTTCATTACTTTTGTAGGTGTAACACTTAACTCATGATTATGGGTATCGTTAAACATGTCCGCAAACCATATCCCATCTTTTCCTTTTGAAATTCGAAGCATTGCTTGGCATCCGATCCTCAAATTTCTACGTTGTGTCTTTACAACCCCATAACTATTAGCCTTCAATCTTTTAAAGCCTTGTTTATTACAAACGTACATTTTACGGTATGAATCATTTGTCGTCTTGTTTTTAAAGGCCTAATGGTGGACAAAAAGTGCTCTAAAAACTTTCAAAAGCAATTTTGTAACCATACGTCTGTTGATCAGAATGGTTTTCCCTTATATAGGAGAAGAAACGATGGTCATTTTGTTGAAAAATCGGGTGTGCATTTGGATAATAGAAATGTTGTTCCGTACAACAAATATCTATTGAGAAAATATCAAGCACATATTAATGTTGAATGGTGCAATCAGGGCTCTTCTATAAAATATTTATTTAAATACATAAACAAGGGACCTGATAGAGCTACAGTTGTCGTTGAACAAAGCAATAATGACTGTAATAATAATGATACGGTCGATGAAATCAATGAGTATTACGACTGTAGATATCTATCTGCATGTGAAGCATCATGGCGAATTTTTAAATATGATGTTCATTACAGGTATCCTTATGTGGTTAGACTGCCTTTTCATCTGCCTGGTCAACAACAAATTGTATATGGGGAAGACGATGATATTGACGATGTTCTCGACAAACCTTCTGTTGCTTCTTCAATGTTCACAGCTTGGATGGAGTGTAATGCAGTTAACGGTGATGCACGGAAACTTACGTATGTTGAATTCCCTACAAAGTTTGTTTGGCAACGCGGTGATAGGATTTGGAAGCCACGGGAAGTAGGAAAGTGCATTGGTAGAATTCATTCGGTTTCACCTAATCTAGGGGAAGCTTATTTCTTAAGAATTTTGTTAAATAAGGTCAAAGGTCCGAAATCATTTGAAGAAATTCGCACAGTAAATGGTGAAGAATATTCTTCTTTTAGAGATGTTTGTTATGCTCTTGGGCTCTTGGATGATGACAAGGAATACATCGATGCAATCAAAGAAGCAAGTCATTCTGGATCTGGTTTTTACCTACGATTTTTATTTGCTACATTATTGATGTGTAACAGTATGTCTAAACCGGAGGTTGTTTGGGAAAACACATGGGAATATTTGGCAGATGAAATTCTTTATAACCAACGACGGAGATTCAAGTCTCCAGGTATTAAAGTTTTATTATTATTATTATTATTTAAAAAGTCAATTATTTATTTTTAAACATACATTAACTAATATTTTAATTATAAATAAATATTGTTAATAATATTTCTAATTAATTTGCTCTTTATCCTCCAGACTTATCACTCAATGAAGATCAACTTAAGAACTTAACTTTGTTCGAGATAGAACAAGTTTTACTAAGGAACAACTCCACTCTCAAAAATTATAAAAACATGCCTATCCCAGATGTAGATTCTGTTTCTTCTTCAAACAATCGACTTATCACTGAGGAGCTAGATTATGACATTCCTGTTATGAAGACTGAATTTGATCGTATGTTTCTTGCATTGACAAATGAGCAGCGTCACATTTTCCTTGATATCATGGGTGCAGTTAAAGAAAATAAAGGAAGTGTCTTCTTTGTTTATGGTTATGGTGGGACTGGTAAAACTTTTTTATGGAAGACAATATCTGCAGCTATTAGATGTGATGGTCATATTGTTTTAAATGTTGCTTCAAGTGGGATTGCTTCATTATTATTGCATGGAGGTAGAACAGCACACTCTCGATTTATAATTCCATTTGAACTAACAGAGGATTTTGTTTGTAAAATAAGTCGAGATGGTGACCTCGCTAGGTTATTGAGAAAAACCTCATTCATATTTTGGGATGAAGCTCCTATGGTCCATAAGCATGCATTTGAAGCTTTAGATCGAAGTTTGAAAGATGTATTCAGGTCTGAAAATTCTAGCAACTCAGATATTCCTTTTGGAGGGAAAGTTATTGTTTTTTGGAGGAGATTTCAGACAGATTCTACCTGTTATTCCTGGTGGAAGTAGACAAAACATTGTTAATGCTTCTTTAAGTTCTTCATATTTATGGCAACATTGCAAGATCCATAAATTAACAAAAAAACATGAGGCTAACTGTTGGAAGGGATCAATCTAATATAGAAAAAATCAAAGATTTTGCAGAATGGTTGTTGGATATAGGAGAAGGCAAACTTGGTGGTATCAACGATGGAGAAACGGTTATTGATATTCCAGATGATATTCTCATTAATGATCCACATGATCCTATAGGTTCATTAATCGACTTTGTATATCCTTCAATTTTGGAAAAGTACAACAATACAAGTTATTTTCAAGAAAGAGCAATACTTGCTCCAAAGAATGAAGTGGTTCAGGAAATAAACGACCGTTTGTTATCGAAGTTTCCAGGAGATGAGGTTGAATACTTAAGTTCAGATAGTATATGCCAATCTGAATTTGTCCATGATTAGTTTGATGCAAATTTATATTCACCTGATGTTTTAAATGGTCTGAAGGTATCAGGTTTACCAAACCATAAGTTAGTTTTAAAAATCGGTGTTCCAGTTATGTTGCTGAGAAATATTGATCAGAAAAATGGCTTATGTAATGGGACAAGACTACAGGTGATATCATTGGGCAAAACGTGTTATTGAGGCGCGTATCATATCTGGAACTAATATTGGAAACCGTACTTTTATTCCAAGAATGTCTTTAACTCCATCAGAAAAGAAGATTCCCTTCAAATTCCGAAGAAGACAGTTTCCATTGGCTATATGTTTTGCAATGACCATTAATAAGAGTCAGGGACAATCATTATCCAAGGTTGGTTTGTTTCTCAAACATCCCGTGTTTTCACATGGCCAATTGTATGTTGCCCTATCAAAGCAGAGAGGGATTAAAATTATTAATTTTAGATAAGGACGGTACCCTCACAAATCAAACTTCCAATGTTGTTTATAAAGAAGTTTTCCAGAAATTATAAACAGTGTTTTTGTACCATCTTTTATTTACTTTTAAAAAATAATATTTCATCCATCATATTAATTAAATAATTTATAATACTTTATTGCATTTCATTTATTCATGTTAATTACAATATCACTATTCTTCATTTTTTGTGAACTTTGATATGTTTTTTTATTACACAACCAAAATGAAAATTATAATTCTATTTCAAATTATCAACCGTGGATTTCCACGGGTTTTAACCTAGTATCATACATACTTATAAAGCTAACATTTTTGCTTGAATCTCATGCATTTGAAACCCCCTTTTTTAACTTCCTCAAACCACATTCATTTGAAACTCCCTTTTTTAACTAATACAACTCAAAAGTTTTTTTTAATTATGATTTATCACTCAAAAGTTTTATAACTTATATTATGTTTAATTAACATTTAGTGAAAAGTTTTCTATAAAAAGGTCAATCTTTTGGGAAGACATGCATACAAATCATATACTAGATGTCAAACACTTCAACCAAAATTCATTTAAAATCTAATATTTCAAACGCTTTTTAATAATGATTGTAAAAATTTCAACATGTGTTACTTAATTGATTGATTAATAAAAATATTAATGTTTTGAAACTCCTAACTCTTAAACTTATATTATTTAATTTGTTAGTTAACTAAAATATTTTTCCTACATAAAGATAACATTTTTATGTTTGGTTACTCATATTTGTTTATGTAATTAGAAAACAAGGTGTACATAGAATGACTACTTCAATTTCACATAGGAATTGATACCACTAGAGAGGTATGTTGTCTTTAACCGGTGGTAGGAGATCCACATATCCTTTTTAATTATTTATATTAATGCTTAGTAATATCTATTTTATATTCTTATTCACCTTAATTTTTTAGGTACAAATTAAGGAAGAGGATTCTCGGCGCGCCAACATAAAATCAAACGTACGTCTTGCAAAATATGTAATTAAAATTAAATATCATATTTAATAATCGACTTATTTTAAAACTCTTGATGACATTTATGTATAATGATATATTTTGTATGACTTCATTCTTAATTTCAATGTTTAATATTTGAAAGTTCATATATGAAACCTTGGATGTTTTGGTGTAATATAAATATTGTAATACAAAGTTTATTAGTTCAATATTATTTATTAATAGCTCATTCAAAACAACTTATTTCTTATTTTATCCAAAAAAATATTATCGGACATAAACAAGTAGATTATATTAATGTTATACAAAAACTTATAATATATATTGGGTATTATAAAATTAAAAGTAAAGTTTATAAGGTATAGACTATATTAGATAGTATCAAAATATAAGTTGATGAATTTTTATGTTATTTGATAATTCGGTTAATGCCCAACACATGATTAAAAACGTAAATTTCAACATATTTCTATTTTTTCCCATAATTATTTTAACCACTTAAATGCATTCTTACGCAACGCGCGAGGTTACGCCTAATATATAATAAAAAGACTCTTAAACCAGCCACATGTCCTCTTTTAAACACAATCTCATGCCACGTGTCATTTTCTCTTAAGCCCTCGACTCTATTTCCCGCTTTTTTCTTTATCCAAAAACGTTGCTGAAAATCAATCTTTAAATCGGAAACTATTCTGATTTCAATAAATTAGCAATATTCTAGGCAATAAATCAGCAAACGTAATCTTTTCAAAAAATTTAAACCGATGACCCAATTACTCCCCTTCTTATATGCTTCGGTAATTTTGTGATTTGAACATTCGCCTGCACTCGGTTTCTAGCAGCCTACATGCTTTTAATTTTTGCATCGATTTTAATATTCATCCTTCTATGAGATTTGAAGATTCATACCGTGAGATAATTATTTTTGTGTTGTTGTATTGTGTGTGTGTAGGGTACTTTAAATGTGGGCGTCTTACCCCATTGGAAGATGCTACCTTTTTTTCTAAATCTCTAAAAGAAATCATGCGGTGAGTTTGCAGGTCCTCCTTAGTTGAATATCATCGATGTTACTAGGGGCTTAGTCCTAAATTTCATCCTTATTTTTTTCTTCCTTACTCTAGAAAAAAATTATTTATTATTTATTCATTAAGTTTCATTTGAATCACATCTCAATAAATAAAGTTGATTCACAGTACTTTAATATAACTATTAGCTTGAATGGTTTATAAATGGTAATAGGTAACCGATAATAAGGAGGTGAGAGTTAATATTCGTTAGAGTGCATACGAGGTGTTTGATGGAATGTCATAGTGAAATTTTATTGCAAGACCTGAACAATTGTACATTCCATTCAACCTTTTATGAAAATTATTTAATTATTCATCTCATGAATCCAATTTTAAAAAATATTTTTTTGTCTTTATTTGGTTCTTAAGATTTTAGGACAACAATCCATCAAGCAAGCATGGTTGATGATAAACATTATTGTTTTCCTTTCTATAATGATTAGAATCAAATTTGAAGGTACCTGATGAAGTTTTTGATTTACTATAATCATCTTTAATCATAAATGGCTTGAAGATGGAATGGAAATCTTTTGTGTTATAGGTAATATATATTTTCTCTCTTATCATATCTTACAATATATTATTTTTAATTTTATCTTCCATTGTATTGTTAGAAGATTTTGAAGGCGTGTGGAAAGGGGTGAAGTGAGTATATTGTCAAACAACAAAAGATTAAAGGATATTGTTCAAAAGTCCATGACACTAGACGTTCTGGTAATCTTGTCCAATGACCCGAGGATAAAATGAATTATGTATAAAATGCATGAATCTAACAATAAATTAACTTCAGTCCTAAGTTCCACAACTCTTAACTTCTCTTTGATTTGGGGATGATAATATGACTGTATAGCCTTTATGAACTTGAAAAATGTTTAGCTTGAAAATAATACCCAATTTGATTCGTTGTAGAGTCAAGGTTATATTCTTTTAAGAGAAATTTCTTGCTAGAAATATGATTTTGCAAAATAAAAACCCCAAAATAAATTTTAGATAAATGGATCAAAGACCTGTGATGTTCAAAATAGTAATTTTGCAATTTTAAGGTGAACTATCAAGTTGATCACATCCAATATTTATAATCCCTAATTACAACCATAATTCCTTTTTTATTCAAATTTGAAGTTGTATATTTTAATTTTTTTTTTTGCAGCCCATGTATATTACATCCACTTCTTCCTGTAATTAGTTTAGACTTTTAAGTTTCTTTTTGCCTAAATTGATAGGTTTGAATCACATGTACTTCCTCATCTATTCATTTTTTGAGTCTGAGTATGTGTAATTGATACTAATTATATTGTTGCTACATACATTGTTTTACAAAATCATTACCACATTGATGGTGTGTATTTGTTAGAAACTAATTTACTTCATACTCTATATTTAACGTGATATCCTTGGTAAATAAATTTGTGTACCTGTTTTTTTTTTTCATAATTGTAAAGTTGGTCTGGTGCAAAAAGTAATTTGTAATTTTTATTTTTTAAAACTTCATGCTTTTCTTCGTATAATTTGCTTCTATGTATTTGTATCGGGTAGATGTTTTGTTGTTCATAAACTTTTTTAAGATTACATAAAAAGAAATAATTTTGGAACCGCAAAAGAAAATCCAAATCATATATAATCTCTGATTTTATTTATTTATTTTATAATTTTAACTTTTTTTTTCCTTTTTAACCATTGTATTTTGATTCTTCTGAGGTATCCGATTCGCGTTCTCTTTAATATACTATGTTGCTTAGGGGTAAAATTGTCAAAATTGTCATCAACACTCTGGGATAAGCAATAAAGCCCTTTGTTCTTCTTCTAACTTTTTCCTCTTTCTCTTTTAATTAGGACTCCTTTTTCCTCTCTTTTGAGATGATATTGAAGAAAGGAAACACCTGAATCTTTTATTCTTTTGAGATAATGTTGGAAGTTGTTTAAAATTGTTGAGAATTTGTATCGAAAGACATTAGTTTATATTATATTATTTAAATTGTGTTTAAAAAATGATATTGGTTTCAAGTTATACAAGTTATGCTTTTGTAAACACCTTCCGTCTAATAATCAATAGAAAAATAACATTTCTACACCTACATTTTCATTTTTGATACACTTAGAAGGGATAAATGAATATTTACGCAATCATGTTTCATATTTTTATGAATTTATTCAACTCAAATGTAATATGCTGAATAAGCATCGGATTCATAACATATTAAAGAATCCAATTCAAAATTTCAAAGAACATTTAAACAAGTATCAAATTTTATATAAAAGTAACTGTATAAATTTATGATTAATGATTACGCTTTCCTTATCTTATCTTATTTTATTTTGTTAACCGTGTAACACACGTTTTATAACCTAGTACCTAATAGCCATATAGGGTTGACAGTGATATTAGGGTTGAAGATGATTAGTCAATAAAGAATGATCATGAATACTAAGATTGAAAGAAGGAAAGAAAACATATGCTAGGAAATCCTAAAATCAATTTAAGAATTTGAATGTTCACCTACAAAACAATTGGGTTTTATATTCTATACCTAAGCTTAAATACCTAATAGCCATATATTTCCTTTTTTTCCATATATATATATATATATATATATATATATATATATATATATATATATATATATATATATATATATATATATATATATATATATATAAGAGTTCATTTGAGACGGACATAATTTTGTGAGACCGTGAGACCAAATTATTTTATTGAAATATTCTTATATTTTATTGTTCGTAAAAATAAAAGATGCAATATATTCTAATATTATATGTTTTAGAATATTTCAATCTAAAATATGTTAAAATTATTGTTTTATAATATTAGAATATTACACATATTTAATTTGTATGAACACTAGAATATTAGAATATTTAATAGAAATAAAAGTAATCTCACGGTCTCACAAAATAGGTCGTCTTATATAAACCTAATCATATATATATATATATATATATATATATATATATATATATATATATATATATATATATATATATATATAAAATATGTGTGAGACCCATGTATTACATGAGTTTATTTAAAAAAATTAAATATGAAATTTTAACAATTTGAGAAGTTTGAATTTATAAGAAAAATGAACAAAAAATTTGAATTATTAAAATTAATGAGACTTTAATACATTAAATGCATTACATATATAAACTCTTTCTAATAAATACCTTACATATATATCACCTTATTAAATGTGGAATTTTAATTTAATAAAATGAAAAATACAATAAAATGACAAGTGGAAATAGAAAATTCAAAAATTTTAGAAAATGTCATGTTTCCAAATGAAGGAGAAGAGGACATGTGCCAAAAAGATTTTGATTTATTAGGGAGTATATATATATATATATATATATATATATATATATATATATATATATATATATATATATACACCTTAGTTTTTAAGGTTAATAAACAAGAGAATAAATATAATAAACGAATAGATACTATAACAGGTTGAACGGTAATCCCATAAGCAACCACCATGAATAGGAAACCATGCCAAAACAAGTTGGCAATGATGATGGCAAAGAAAAGGACACAGCAAGAAGAAATGGGAATTAATTACAGATGTTGCCTTTCTTTTAATTATACATATCCTTCTTCTAGCTACTCTTTGCTTTCGATCAAGCAATTGCCCAAATTTCTCTCTCTGATCGATCTTCGTATGTGTGAAGATCGGAGAAATATTCTCTTCTAAGGCTTCACATCGATCGTAGTATATCTATATAGGTAGATGCAATCAACTTATCAGTATACGCCTTTCCTCATCTCTACTCGCAGGTTTTGTAAGACTGGTAGGGTTAATTTTATGATTTAAATGTCTTCATTGTTTCGATCAGTGGCTTTTGTTTTATATTTGTCAAGAGTAAATTGCGACTTTCCACCTCTCTGGCATGTAAAGTTATCATTTCTACCCGGATATTTCTTTTATTTCACAAATACTTCTCAAAGTGTAATTTGTTATACATATTTGGTTCTTAGCTCCGTTAAATCGATCTAACAAAACATCCCAAAGGTTCAAGTGTGATCTAAAATGTGTAGGTTTTATAATATAACTAAAGCCACTTTAAGACAAAATCACAACACCTAACCAACAACATGCTTATATCCGTATTTTATAAGACCAGTTTAAAGTAATACCACAACAAAACCACAATGGTCCATATTTTATCAAAATCACCGATTTAAACTAATAACTAGGAGCAGACGTCTAAAAGTTCAAATTGAGGTCTCCAATCGGTGATGAATAAAATCAAGATCTTGATTAGAACAAATGTGGTCAGTGGCTCCTGAATCTATGATCCAAGAATTATGTGTTTGAAGAAGATGCGAGGACTTATAAGCATTTGCACAAAAATGTTCAAAATAAAAGGATGTACCATTAGGATTAAGAGAGCCTTCAGTAATGGCAGAATTGACTTGAGATGATGAAGAACTGTTGTTGATTGATGTTGTATTCAGTAGTTGAAGAAGTTGTTGATATTGCTAAGGAGAAAAAGTGAGGTTAGATGTGGAACTAACATTGTGAACAGCAGAAGAAGACTCATCTTTTCTTCCTTTTGTGAACTTGAATGTAGAGGGAAATCCAACAAGTCTATAACATTGAGACTTTGTATGACCTGTCTTCTTGCAGTGGGTACAGGTAAGATTCTTCTTAGAAGACTGAGAATTGGAATTATTAGAGACATTCATAGCAATTGCATCACTGTTAAAGACAGGAGATACATTGATTTCTCTTTGATGTTCTTCTTGAATGAGTAGCATAAGCAGTAGACAACGTAGGCAAGGGTTTCATCATGAGAATCTGACCTCGGATGATTTTGTATGAATCATTAAGCCCCATTAGAAGCTGAATAAGCTTTTGATCTTCAAGAAACTTGTTAAAGAGCAGTTGCTGCACTACATGAACAAGCTGGAAGATCTTGTACCATACGTAACTCCTCCCATATCTTCGTGAGTTTGGTGAAGTAAGTAGGAAAATCATCTGAGCCTTGAGACATTGAATATAGTTGTTGTTGAATCTGGTAAATCAATGCACCACTGGACTGTTCATATCGTTGATTCAATTCACTCCAGATCTGAGATGCAGTTTGAAGAAAAAGAACGCTATCTGCGATATTTTTGTGAAGTGAATTTAAAATCCAGCTGATAACCATGGAATTTGCACGAAACCAAGCAGGATATGTAGGAGAATTAGACACAGGTTGAGAAATCGAGCCATCAACAAGACCTATGTAACAACGTAAATTTTCAAAACAATTTTTCATTTTAAAAACATACTTTCATTCATAAAATATCATAGTAACCCAAAGTATCACATGTTTCACAATAAACAAATCCCAAGATCCTCGAATACATAAATCCTCTCAGTGTGTACGGATCATGCCGGCGCCTTCCCGCGATCCTCGCTAGTACCTGAAACACATAACACAACACAGCTGTAAGCATAAATGCTTAGTGAGTTCCCCAAAATACCACATACAACACATACGCCACTCGAGGCTATAATACGACCCTCCAGTCGATGTGTCTCAGCGGGACCCTCCAGTCCCGTAGCTCGTTGGACCCTCTGGTCCGGTCATAGCTCGTCGGACCCTTCGGTCCAGCCTGTGTCATTGGACCCTTCGGTCCGGTCTATATCGTTGGGTCCTCCGACCCGATCTATATTGTTGGGTCCTCCGGCCCGGTCTGTTCAACACATAGCATACATATAACACAATGCACATAATCTCATATATACACATAGCATACAAGACCCTCTGGTCTACACATAAATACCACTCTAGGTAATGTATAGTGAGAAGACTCACCTCGGGTAACTCGGTAAACCTCGAACTCTGAAATACTGCACTAGCCTTCGCCTAATCACATAAATAATTACTCTAATTAATACAACTTCTAAAGGCTAGGCCACCCCCTCTCTATAAGTTCTCTAAGAAGGGTAAAAGACCATTCTGCCCCTCTAATGGCTCATAAGTCCCAACACTGACTAACCCTAAAAGTCAACAAAAGTCAACGGTCAACATTGACCGGACTCGCCGAGTGCACTAGAGTGACTCGGCGAGTACATGTCTGTCCTCCTCGCCCCTGTCCTCACTTGACTCGCTGAGTCAACCCTATACTCCACGGGTCGCCACAGGTCGCGAGTCGCGGGGCAACCCGACTCGACTCGTCGAGTCCCTTATGGGCTCGGCGAATTTCTCCCATGAAAACTCTCAAAAGATCTCTTGAGGTCAGATCTGCTTCACCAAACAGTAGATCCATCCTTCTAACACTCGAAAGTCACGTAAAGGTTCAAACTTTACGTTCATGCAATGCATATAAGACCAAAAATGGAGGAATAACCTTTTAAATGTGATTTTACTCTCAAGGCTCACATGAAACCTTACAAAGCTGGAAGCTTGGGACCTTTTGGACCTCTCAAGGTCTAGATCTATCATCTATACTCAAAGGGACCCCCTATGCTTCACAATCTAACTCAAAATGGTGCAAAGGAAGCCCTAGATCATAGATCTTAACCCAAAACAGAAAAGGAGTTCGATTAGATACCTCAACAGCGTAGATCTGAACTTGAAAACTCTGGATCCACAGCTTCCTTGACCTCCTCTTGCTGGAAACAACTTCTCCTTTGCTAAGTTACACCAAAATCGATCAATATGGCTTTATCTCCCTCTCAACTCGCTCAAGCTCTCAAGGGGTACTCTCTCTGGACAGGTAGCCGCAAATGGAGGCCATAAAGGCCTTTAAATAGGGCTCAGACCCTGAGATTTAGGGTTTCATTTTACAGCGCGGACTCGCCGAGTCCACGCATCGACTCGCCGAGTCCATTCATTAAATCCAGTCAGCATTCGTGGTCCTACTCGATGAGTCTACGACTCGACTCGTCGAGTCCCTTTCTTTTCTCAAAAATAAATGATAAAATATAATATCTGGAATTCCGGATGTTACAACCTAGCTTGTTCTTTGCAGACAGAGCAATAATCATTGCTCGTTTCCATGCGTTGAAACCAACGCCATTGAAGACATTAGTGACAAGAACAGTACTTGGATTATCAGAGGATCCAAGGTAAAATGGATTAGAAACAGAAATGGAGTCAATTGTAGATTCTCCTGACATGATTGAAACAATCAATTTGAAAAAAAAATCGATTGAAGATGAAATCTTGTGAAAGGAAGAATGATTGAAGATGAATGCGGAAAGAAATTGAAGATTGAATCAGAAATTGAAGATCGGATCGTTAATCTGATACCATGTAAACAATCAAGAATTTGAGAGAGAAGAAATGATTTTCAATCTTCATTGTATTGATTAACTAATTACAAAGAAGATAACAAGAACAATATATACAGACTACTCTATCAAAATAACGACTACTAACTAATTAGTAATTAAATTACTATAATACCCTAACAACAATAACTGAACAGAGAAGCTAACAGCTTCATCCAACAGTAAAAAATTAAAATAAATTAAAATGCTAGAATCCTCAAATTATTTGGCTATGGCATCCATACCATCAAACAATTAACAATAAACTTGTCTTCTCTGCTGTCACAGACATTTCTTTTTACTGACTTATATTCTTTAGTTCTTAAGGCAATACAAATAATATATAATTCAAATAACAATATATATAATAATGGGTAAAAAACATAAAAGCCTTAAATTTAGTAGAAATGTAAGGATTTTTTTTTTCAATGTATTTTAAGTTTATTAAAACCGGAGGTTTGCAATTTTTTTTTTCCAATTTTACATTTTTGTATATTTATGGTTTATTAAAGCCCTTATGTTTCGTAAAAATATTGGCTTTTACTTTTTTTTATTTTTCCTGATTCAATAAAGCCCTTAAATTTGTTAAAAATGTTCGATTTTACTTAATAAACTTGCAAAAAAAATAAAATAAAAAAATAAAAAAACCAAAACAATTGCAAAGCCTCTTGCTTTAATCATTGAGAGTAGAATAATTGAGTAGTAACTTAAGTTTTTATGTCATTTGCCCTATAATCCATATATCTATGCTAAACTTACAATCTTCTGTCATTTTCCCTATAATAATTGAGTAGAAACTATAACTGGTTGACACATACCTCCATCCCAACCCCCGAAGCAATCAACAGAAAGAGTAAATTATGCTAAAAGAAGTTGGTAAGGACAAAAGATGAACAGCAAGAAGAAGAAGAAGAAGAAGAAATGGCAAATTATTCAGCTTTTGCTTTTCTTTCAAACCCTTCTCGATCCTCTTTATTTTCCCTCAAAGTGTGCCCAATATTTTCTCTCTCACCAGACCAAGACCAAGTTGGGAGAACTTCGCCCAAGAGTTCTCATCTTCGTCTTGAATCAAGACAGGTTCGCTAACTTTTCTTTACCTGATTTCATATCGTAGTATAGTATGTATCTTGATGCAAGGATCATCAGTTACCTGTTTCCTTTTCGTACTCCCAGACTCCCTGTATTTGTAAGAGAAGGGTTTTAAGGTTTTAGTTTCTTCGTTTCGGTGGTTTTTGTTTAGTATTTGTTAGAGAAAATTACAACTTTCCTCCTTGGTATGTAGAGTTGTGATTTTCCTTCCAGATGTTTCTTTTACTTCCAAAAGGGTCCCCGAATTGTAATTTCGTTGCACCTTTAGTCCCTAGCGTGGACGGCGCTAAACAGTATCCGTTATATCTACAAAAAAACGACTAACGTGCCTCATGATCAAACCCCCAAAGAATTGCGATCTCACACCCAAGCTCCGACAATCATATGGTTTTCAAGTCTCTAAATTTCTGAACCAGTCGATCTAACACCCAAAAAATTGGGAGCTTTTTTATTTTATTTTTATTTATTTATTTATTTTTTTTTTTAAGTTTAAGATGAAGGGGATTGAGAAATTGTTTAGGGTTTTCATTAAAGAAGATGACAAGTATGCAGTGAAAAAACTAGGTTATGGGTAAATGAAATATACAATATCCTTCCTAATTAGTTACACATTAATGGGATAACACGATAGACAACATGAGAAGATAATCGGTTATGAAATCATGATATTTGCCAAAAGTAAGTAAGTATATATGAGTTACTAGCTAATTATGTGGTGTACGTTCTGATCGATGCAGGTCGCATGCAATGGAGGTGATGCGTCTTTTTATCTCAGCAGTCTGTACGGTGTTGAGCTTTCTAGGCCTCCAATTTTGGACAGAACTTTCTAATGTGAAACTACATTCAGATGGTTTGATCATCGGTGAACATTATGTGCACTTTTGTGTTGCCAAATGTGCAGTGGAAAATCCATATATCACTACTGCTTTGGTGCTCAACTTTATCCTCAACGTTTATGCACTCATCTTTATATCTCTTAAGGTACTATATATATATATATATATATATATATATATATATATATATATATATATATATATATATTCTTCGGCTTAATTTTCTAGTAGTGCTAATTACGTTTATGTTTGGTTCCTTATAAATATTGTATCTTGATACTTTTGATGATATATTTCTTCATGCAGACAATATATGCAACTGAATCTTGGAAATTGGTGCAGAAAATAGAATTTTATGTCCTTAGCAAGGTATAGAGGCACTAGTAATGTCTTGTGATGCAAATTACTATATATTTATGTATGAATTAATTAATGATGCATTCATGTATACATTAACAATGATGATATTGATGGTGGCTATATATTCCATTCTGCAGGGAGCATCTCTTTTGGTGGTAGTCCCACTAACTCTAATTCATGCAGGATTGTGGTCAACATGGTTGACCGTAGCATGCACTTTGAAGGTATATATATATTACTTTGTGCATTGTTAATCATCGATCTGAAGAAAATTGGGAAGTTTTATATATATATATATATATATATATATATATATATATATATATATATATATAGGCTTTAATTTACTTTTCATTTTTTTTATAGATGTTTGAAGCTCTAGCCAGGGAACGGCTCGAACGGTCGTTGAACACATCATCATCTGGTTCTAGTGCAAGACTTTGGAATTACTTGGGTGATTATTCTGTTTTATTGGTGGTTTTCACTGTCGACGCAATTTGGTATTCACTTTTTTTTTTTATAAATCTTAACGACTTTCTGATTTCTGTTTACACGGGTCGTTCTATGGCTTTACAAATTAGAGGATTCATGTTATCATTTTTTTGAACTTTTTGGCAGGATTACGACGTGTGCACTGATTCACAAAAAAATACCATCGCCCGTGTTATTGTTATTATTCTTTGAGCCTCTTGGTATTGCTTTCAAAACATTAAAGGTAATAAATGTATAATCCCATTCGAAATTATAGAATTTTGTTTCCTATTATATATATATATATATATATAATATATATATATATATATATATATATATATATATATATATTAAACGTAATAAATGTATATCTGTTTGTTTTCATAACGTGCCTGATAAAGTTTTTGGTCTACATCGATCATTTTGGTTTAATTTAGGGCATTTTGGTTCATGGATTTCAATTGCTTGATATATTGCTTCACCACTCAGCACGCAACACAACAAATAATTCAAAAATATCAAAGCTTTTGGATACGTCAGCAGCAGCAGGAGGCAAGACTCTGCTTTTAGTTATTCAAGTATTTTTATTTTCCTTCATTTGCTAATTCTAGATACGACGTTTAATTATGTTCAGATTCACAATTGAAATGGGAACGGAAGCGTGTTATATTACGGAATGTATGTTTTTTCCTAGATATTATAACGTGGTTGATCGTTTTTGGGCATTATGTGTACGCATGGAGGCTTAATGGCAAGACATACCTTATGCTTAACCTATGTAAGTTCGTTCATATGTTCTAATTCTACTCTCAAATGTTTTTATTTTGTGAATTTATCCTTCCTTGATCCGCCAAAGACAAAAATAGCAGACTACATTTGCTTACAAGAATGTATATCGTATGCAGCGTTTATGGATATCATTTTAGTGAACGGTTTATTGAGTTAAGAATGGCTTAGAGAACCCTTCATTGGGAATTGGGATCTCCCTGATAGTAGTGGATGGAGAGCTTTTTTATAAGTTCAAGTATGTATCCAGCTGTTAGGATTTAATCATCATCTAATTATGTTTGTAAGTTTATTTATCGTTGTTTATCAACATTGTAGACCCTGGGGTTTGGTGACTATATCACCGATTGTGGACATTTGGTTTGTGGTCATGTGAGTTGCTTTGGATTTGACATGTGATTAAGTTGTTCAATTAGGTTTTCTTTTCTTTTGACCATATCATCCGTTTACTTTATATAATCCTTTGTTGTTTCAATCCCGTTTATAGTTCATAGTTAATTTTATCTTGCAATATGGACTGAAAAAGGTTTTTGTAATTTACTCCTTAAATTATTCACCACATTTGGAGTTTTTGACAAAAGAGGTGTTTTTGAAAAACTTATTTACCCAATAGGTATAGTTTTAAAAATATTTACCTAACAAGGTGATTTTTCCTTTTAATAAGAAAAAATATAATCTGGTAATAAACTTACCCTAAACCATTGTTTACGATCAATGGAAGCCGCAAAGACGAAATTACCAACTACACATCTCTGATTCGTCTCTCCAGCCACACCGGACTTTACCTCCGTTACTCCTCCAGCCTATGATTCCTTCTCTGGTTTGATATTCAACATCATCTCACCTTCAATTATAAAAGTTCCATCCTTAATCGCATGACGCCGGCACAAAGGCTTGCCATCGGAGACGCCGGAAAACAGATAACCTAGGGTTTTTTCTTGTTAATTTTGAAAATCATTTGTGGTTTTCGAATTTCTTTCGTGAAATCTCTCTGTTTTCTTGAGTGAATCAGTTGATTTCCTTTTGAAGCTAGATTAGCAGGGATTGTTTAAGTTGAGTTTTGTATCAAAGGGTTCTTTGTGGTGCCAATGCCAATTTTTGAATTGTAATTTGTTACAAACCAGTGAAAACCAAAAATTAAGTCCAATTGTTATGCTAAAGAATGTTTGGATCTGATTTTTGGCTGCTTGAACATGATTCATAAGCTAAAGAACGTTAATTAGATTTGTTAAATTCCAAAAAGTGTTCATTTGATCTGTACTTAATCATAATATTCCGGTTAAAGTGGATATGTTGATATGCCTGCTAAGCATTTGTTAAAATGCCCATATTGAAAAAAAAAATCTTCGCTGTGAATATTTTTGACCAGTTGCTATTATTTTCATAGACCTTATTCACCATTGAATGTTGTAACATCCTCGAATATGAAAGGTGGCAGGCTTATTTGGAATGCCAATGGAAAGTTTCACAAATCCAAGTAGGGGTGAACAAACCGGTTTTTTTTCAAACCGGTTCGGTTCAGATTCGTGAATAGTAAAACCGGTTCAAACCGGTTCCGTCATAGAAAATCTCGAACCTGTCTAAACCGGTTACACCGGTTCTAAACCGGTTCAATCGGTTCTAAACCGGTTCGATCGGTTTGACTACCGGTTCCAAACCGGTTCACGGTTATTAAACCGGTTCTAAACCGGTTTCAATATCTAAAATCTCGAACGGGTGCGAACCGGCGGTTCGGTTCTTGAATCGGTTCGGTTCATAGTGGACCGGTTCGTAGTGAACCGGTTTACCGGTTCGGATCCTGAACCGGTTTTTTTGTGCAAGCCTAAATCCAAGGTTGAGAAGTGAGAAAGGAAATGAAGATGACAAGAAGGGCTCAATTCGTTTTCCTTTTGTAACTTTATTATCCAAGCTTCACATATGTTTTGTGAAGCATTTTTGTAACTTCTTTTAGAACGTTTTGAATAAGTTAATTGCTTTTATTTGTAAATATTGTTTGTAATTTGGTTTTTGTAAGAAGCATTTGTTGGTTTATATTTAAAAAATTATTGATTATAATGATGTTTCTAAAAAAATTGGTAACATTGACAGCAAAAACTAAAAAGAAATCAAAAAATTTATATTAAAAAAAAATAAATAATAACTTAAGTGAAATTTTCATCACTATGTGATATGGATATTGGCTTTATTTTTGTTCATGTCACGTCTGAAACAAAGAAAAGAAAATGACTCTTTTAATAACTTATTTTGGTAAATAAGTTTAAAAGGAGGAAAAGAAAATGACTCTTTTAATAACTTATTTTGGTAAATAAGTCCAAAATGATACCTATCGGGTAAATAAGTTTTTCAAAAACACTTACTTTGTCAAAAACTCCCACATTTGGATTATTAGGAACATTGTCAAATGAAATATTAAATTTTCTATTTAATTATAAAAATAAATTACCCGTGTGTGGCAAATGGACCCCGGTAAAACAAACATCAAATTTTGGTTTACGAAAAAAAAAAAAAAAAAAAAGGCTAGTTTTCTTACCTGGACCCAAACCCAAACCGGTCTAAAACTTGGTTTTCCTATACATGATCTTCCAACGTTAATAATTAAACCCAATATGAACCTTTTCCAATGATTCTGATTTTCCCAAATGCAGGTCGGGTCGGATCCTGTGTGAACCCCCAATACGACATTGCACCATCTAAACTAGTTTAATTAGTAACATAGCCAAAAGCAATAGAGCACTCTACCCTCTCTCAAGAATGCAATAACCACAGTCCACATATTTTTGCCAAAAATATATAGTGTTTGAAAGTTTAAGATAATGATTTTCCCATATAGATAAACGTACAATGGGTTTATACAATACAAGTACAAACAAGGCCAGACATTGTCACCAGATATACTATATTAATGAAAATGAAAATACCAGTGGAAGGAACATGGAGAGGAAAGTATGCCAAAATAAGTTTAGTAAGGACAAAGAAAAGGAATCGGAAGAAATGGCAAATTATTCAGCTTTTGCCTTGGTTTTACTCTATTCTCTAACTCTTCTTTGCTTTCCATCATAATCTATTAATCTGTCCTTAATAATAGCTCTCTCTGATGCAATCAGCTCATCAATATACGTGTTTCTTCTTCTCTACTTGCAGGATTTGTAAGAAGAATAGATTTTTAAATACTGCATGATTTGAAATGGTAATCAAACCCCTGTTGTTGAACCCCAAAAACACCATTGAACCTCTTTGAGAACTATTATCGAACACTTGGCGTGCGATCTTCCAAACACAATATCTCTTTGTAGAGGGACCTCATTTTGAATTCGATTCAGCAAAAAATTTGTAATTCAACAAAACAAAACGGATTGTACCTTCTTTGTTATTTAAACTCGAAATTGAAAATTTTCTGAAAAAAGAAACCCCAAAAGAAGCGCACCCCACTTATGTGAAATTTGAATTATGAAAATTATGCCTTCATCTTTATCAAATCCTTTGTGAAAACCCAAACCCTTTTTCTTCACCCTTGATTTATCACCTTCAATATCCGCAAAGAACTTCCCAAAATAGCTTTCGTTCGCTCATCCCTCTGATACCACTTGTTAGGCACAAAGGAAGCATTAAACGATAATTAGAAAGAAAGGTAGAAGAAATCAACAAAGAATGAACAAAAAGGATTTATCTGATCTTTTGTGATATATGTCATAGAAACATAGACAAAAGAAAGAACTCTCAAAACCATGGTTTTGAAAACCGGACAGTCCTACTGGTCGAACCGAACCGGTCAGGTCCCCGGTTTTTTCCCCAAACCCGCTTGTTTTCGAACCAATGTAAATCAGAGACAAAATTGCAAGAATGGTCCCTGTGGTATGTCAAAACTAGCAAGTTTGCTCCAAAATGGGTTTGGCCTGCAAGGATGGTCCAATAATTTTGTTTTGTTGCGAGTTTGGTCCAAAAAAATTAAAACTTTTTATAATGACGGATTTGCCCTTGGTATTTTCCCCTTTTCAATTTTTTTATTACAGAAATAAAAAAAAGTCTCTCTCTCTCTCTCTCTCTCTCTCTCTCTCTCTCTCTCTCTCTCTCTCTCTCTCTCTCTCTCTCTCTCTCTCTCTGTGTGTGTGTGTGTGCCCTTGTATGTTCTTAACAAATCAAGACTCAACCTCGATTTCATGAAATTAATAACGAACTTCAAGAACTCAAGAACGATCTTCAAGCTGTAAACCCAGATGAAATTGACTTTTAAGATCAGAGTAGATGCGAAATCTTTCAAGATCGAACTATGTGTGTAACTCTTCTTATCCTTCTGATGAACATTTTTCAGTGAGTGTAGAACACAACACACACATAAACACACAATGGATGTTCTGCGTTCTTGATTTTGGATCTGAAATAAAATCCAAATCCAAAAGTCGAAGGTGAGTATGTTCTTGGTTCCAAATCTGAAACGAAGATGAAGAAGGGTAGATTTGAAACAAAAACCACACACAAAACCCTACCTGAAACGAAAACCCACCATCGATTCGAAAGAAAGGTAGATCGACGGGAGCTCCGATGCGGCTGGGAAATCGTGATGAAGTGCAAGGGGGTCCGTCGAGACCGACAACCCTCTGTGGGTTTACTCTTCGTCTTCGCTGATCGGGAGAGGGAAGAAGTAACACGAATGGAAGTAGTTAAAATGGTGGTCTGGTGGTCAAACAGATCACGAGAATGGATTCGATCTCCGGCGATCTCCTATTGGTTCTCCTCTCTTCGTTAGCGTCCACAAATCAAGGGGGAAAGGGAAACGACTGGATCGAAGGGAGAAGGAAGAAGAATGGAATCAGAACAGAGGTGTTTGGTTGAGGGAAAGAAATGGCGAAGTAGCAGCTGAGAGAAGCGGCGATCCTCAGGAGGTGTTCTCCGATCGACAATAAGGAGGGGTGGAGAAGGGTTGTCGGTGCACCTTTTTGTCGCCGGTGGTGTATAGAGAGAGAGAGAGATAGAGAGAGAAAGAGAAAGAAAGAGAGAGAGAGAGAGAGAGTATTTTATTTTTGTTTTATTTTCAATTAATTTTTAATTGTTGGTAATAAAATTAAAATGAAAAATTAAATGATAAGGGGTAAAATCGTCTTTACAAAAAAGTTCAAACCAAATTGGACCAAACTCGCAAAAAAATGAAACTATTGGACCATCCTTGCGAGCCAAACCCATTTTGGACCAAACTTGCTAGTTTTGACATACCACAGGAACCATTCTTGCAATTTTGTCTAAATCAGACGGTTCATATTACCATTACTATTACTGTGATTATAATAAGAGAAAATTAAAAATTTAGCCAAATACATTAATTACTTTGTGGAAAATAGCAAAAAAAAAAAACCAAATTACAAAAATAGCCCTTAAAATTGCAGATGATTA